AATTAAAAGGTAAAGGTAGAAAATGTTAAGAGGCAACAGAACAGGAGATGGAGAAATTGGATAGAGAGGAGAAATTTTATGACCAGCCGAAAGATATAACAGTTGCATCCTGTTTGAGAACTAAAATACCTGGAATAAAATGTACTAAAGTTTCATACATAAATATATAACATTTGATAACAGGTTAGTGAGAATAAAGAAAATGGAGATTGAAATTAATAGAGAAAGTATTCTACACCCTGTCTTGCCATTCTCTTTTAGAGGATCCAAAAGTGCCCTTTTTCAAACAAGGCCTCTTAGGCTTTCATAAATAACTCAGTGAGAGTCCACTGAATTACTAGTATTAATCATTGGCTAGTCAACTGATCAGTAGGGGAGTGAATACATTACCTGTGGCCCCAGTGGGAAAGTGTCTGATTTCTGACCTGGTATACCATTGCCCTGGGTTGCAGAAGTGCTGGTTAGGGAATCCTTTATTTCCCGGTTGGGAAAGGGAATAAAAAGTCCTTTGTTTGAATCTGTGTTAAAAGAAAAAGAATACAATGAAGCTCTGACTGGACTTTAAAGGCAAGCATGTCCTATAGAAAGATACTGGAGGAAGGGTAAGTGCTAGTTCTGTTGTCAATACTTGAACACCAAATCAACAATCTCCAGCTACAGGAAGAGATGCTAGGAACAGACTTTGGGATTACACTTCACAGCATTCTAATCAGTAGTCTGCACTGATTCACCATTTCAAACCAGCCTCCTTCTGTCTTGATTACCTCATTTGTAAAAAGAGAACACCTAATCAGGATCTATTTCATGGAGAGTATTTCTAAATCCTGAGATCACCCAATATTTTTTTAAAACCATGATTAGGGAAATAAAAAGAAACCCAAAACTCAATCCTATTCATGGCACTTGGAAACTGATATTAAGAATAATCAGTTAGGAATTCTATTAGGTTGTAACATTTGTACAAAAGTGTTTTTCATATCCCCACCCTTTTTTTTTTTTTTTTTTGTACCAGGGATTGACCCGAGGGGTGCTTAACCACTGAGATACACTTTTTCTTTTTTTGAGACAGGATGTTACTAAGTTGCTGAGGCTGGCCTCAAACTTGTGATCCTACACTCACAGCCTCCTGAGTTGCTGGGATTATAGGCCTATACCACCATGCTTAGAGACTTTTTGCATATCCTTATTTTTAAATATTTTTTTAGTTGTTGATGGACTTCTATTTATTTATATGTGGTACTGAGAATTGAACCCAGTGTCTCACCCATGCTGGGCAAGCGCTCTACCACTGAGACACAACCCCATCCCAGTTTTTTGCACATCCTTAATCAATACTTTTAGTTGTAGGATTCTGGGATCTGGGGTTTTATGGGGGAACTTGTATATGAAAATAAGTGTTTTGCATTTGTTTAGGGAAATTCTCTCTGGCAATATTGTGCAAGAATTAAGATAGTTTCAAAGGCTTAGGTCTCCTTCAAACAATGTGCTGTTCTGCTACTTTCTGTTCTCAATCTCTGGCAACAGAAAGCTGAGTGAGCACACAGCATGAATAAAGCTAGCCTCCTGGGAACCAGCCATTGGGTCCCTTTGGGGCTCTAAGATGCTTCCTATTTCTGAATTGCCTTGAACTGAAATGTCCTATTGTAAGCACAAAATACTCTTCCACCACTGGACTTTACAGAACTGTTCTCAAAATAACAAAAGCTCTTAAACTTTATGTTTGCTGGTCCCTATTGCAGTAATACTGCAGGAAAAAAAAAAAACAAGGTGAATAAAAGCTGCTGGTTGTAACCTGAATCCCTGCAGAAAAGGCAAATGTGGTCAGTAGGCTGTAATTTGGGTTCAGGCTCCTTTCACAAGCCTTTAAAGGTGTCCAAGGCCCTGCTCCACCCTTCTCTTCTTCCTCCAGCACTTGTGTTCCTGTCCATATTCACAGGTTCTTTTTTTTTTCCTTCAACATATTTCTTGGTTCAACCAAATCCCCGACAGTCCAAACTCTTTGGTAAGTGCTACCACTACACCTTTTCCTGTGTTTTAGCTGTCACCTAAATCTGGATGACCCTAGATTGAAATTTCTTAACTCTGATCTCTCTTTTGATGTCCATATCTACATTTATTGATTAGTCCCAAAGAGTGCCCCATAGAGGCACAAATACAAATTCAGTATTTTCTGAACCAAACTCACTGTCTTTCTTCCCAAAATATTCCTTCTGGTGCCTTCCCAATCTTTGGCATTGGCATTCTTACTGAATCCCTCAAGACAGAAACTTATTCTGAAATAACAAGTGTTGGCGAGGATGTGGTGGAAAAGGCATACTCATACATTGCTGGTGGGACTGCAAATTGGTACAACCAATCTGGAAAGCACTATGGAGGTTCCTTAGAAAACTTGGAATGGAACCACCATTTGACCCAGCTATCCCATTCCTTGGTCTGTACCCAAAGGATATAGTATAGCATACTATAGCAATGTTTACAGCAGCTCAATTCACAATTGCTAAACTGTGGAAACAACCTAAATTCCCCTCAATAGATGAAGGGATAAAGAAACTGTGGTACATATACGCACAATGGAATATTACTCAGCATTAAAAGACAATAAAATTATGGCATTTGCAGGTAAATGAATGGAGTTGGAGAATATCATGTTAAGTGAAGTAAACCAATTCCAAAAAACCAAAGGCTGAATGTTCTCTGTGATAAGTGGATACTGATCCATAATGGGGGAGGGCAAGGGAAAAATGGAGGAACTTTCAATGGACAAAGAGGTGGAAGGGGAGGGGAGGGGGTATAAGGGCAGGAAAGATGGTGGAATGTGATGGACATTATTACCCTAGGTACATGTATGACTGCACATATATTGTGATGCTACATCATGTACAATCAGAGAAATGAAAAGTTGTGCTGCAATTGTGTACAAAATGCACTCTGCTGTCATATATACCTAATTAAAATAAATAAATAAATTTTAAAAATAAAAGAATCTTATTCTGGAACTCTCAGTTGAAATTTCAATCAATTATCAAGATCTATAGATGAATCTTTTTCATGAGGGGAGCTTTATTTTAATTGAAATACAACTGAAATATCATTCCTTTCATTTTATTTATTTATTTATTTATTTATTTTGGCAGAACTAGGGATCAAACTCAGGGTCTTGTGCATGCTAGGTAAGCACTAAACTACCTTCCCAGCCCCAATTTTACCCTTTTAAAGAGAACAACTCAGGAGCTGGGATTGTGGCCCAGTGTTAAAATGCTTGTCTCACACAAATGAGGCACTGGATTTGATCCTCAGCACCACATAAAAATAAGTAAATAAGGGGCTGAGGCTAGGGTTCAGTGGTAACGCACATGCCCAGAATGTATGAGACACTGGGTTTGATTCTCAGCACCACGTATAAATAAATAAAATAAAGATCTATCAACAACTAAAATTATATATATATATATA